AAAATGTAATGTAAGCCGGGTGGTGGCGGCGCACGCCTTTAATCCCAGCACTCGAGAGGCAGAGGCAGGCGGATCTCTGTGAGTTTGAGGCCAGCCTGGTCTACAAGAGCTTGTTCCAGGACAGGCTCCAAAGCTAGTTCTAGAGAAACCCTGTCTCAGAAAACCAAAAAAGAAAAAAGAAAGAAAGAAAGAAACAAAGAAAAAATTATCTGAAAGAATTTATAAAGAAATAAAATAAAATAATAAAAATGTAATGTAAAATTTAAAAATATAGGTTAATAGGTAGTCAAGGTAGTCATGTAGGTTCGATTTTGTAGATGTACAGAAATGTAGTTCAGTTGGATAGGTATCCTTCAAATCTTTCAGAGACCTTCAGAATATGACATTTAAAGTGTTTTAAGAACTTAGAACTTTTCATGACAATGAGACACATCTGCTCCTGGCAGCACCAATCTACTTCAAGAGGAATATGGGCATAGAAGAGGTTCCTTATGAACTGAATATGCAGAACCCACAGAGAAATGACTGCTGAACTTGCCTAAACGTGAGATGATCCTTTGGGGTTCCTGCTTCATGAAAGAGTCTGTGAGACATTCTGCAGGACACAGAAGAAAGGGACTGACAAACAAAGTGACAAAATATAGGTGGAACTGTCTTTAAAATTTCCTGCTTTGTGGAAAAGTCTGCCAGATACTATGGGCCTGTAGGCTGAAGATGGATGCCCCAATAGTACAGAAAAACTTTGGGTAACTGTCCAGGCAGTGAGATGTCTCTGTTAATTCTAGAGTTTTGGAAGTTTCTTAAAATGTACTTCCTGTTTATTTAGGTAATATTATATCCTTCTGGAGTCTTTGATGGAGTTGAAGAATAGATAGTTATAATTATAGTTTTCCTTAGTTATGATAAAAGATAAAGTAGATAATAAATATTGTAACTGTAGTTCTTGCTTGATAACTGTTTTGTTATATGTAGTTTTGATATGTTAAAGCCTTCCTTTTTGTTTAAACAGAAAAGGGGAAATGATATAGGAGGTCCTTCTGTCTATGTGTTGCTTTCATTGATTAATAAAGGAACTTCTTTGGGTGTAACATGAGGGGGCTGGCTTGTTGGGGTATCTGTCCCACCTAGTACTCCACAGCCGGCAAGTCCCAAAGAAAATCACGCACAAGACTCCATAAAATTATAAACTGATTGGTCCATTAGGTCAGGCTTCTTGTTAACTCTTATAACTTATATTAACCCATTATTCTCATCTATGTTAGCCATAATGGCTCCGTACCTTTCTCAGCTGGACATGTTACATGCTGCCTCTTCGGAGGTTTGCGCAGGAGTGGCTGAGGAACCTTTCTCCTCCCTAGCCTTATCCTATTCTCATTACTCCGCCTCTACTTCCTGTCTGGTTGACCCGCCTATACTTCCTGCCTGGCCAATCAGCGTTTTATTAAAATACATGATTGACAGAATACAGATAATTCTCCCGCACCATTTGGGCCTATAGCAGAGCTGTAGGGGAACAGAACTAGGCAGGGAAAACTAAATGGCATGCTGGGAGAAAGGAGGCAGAGTCAGAGGGACGCCATGGATCCACCTGCCGCCAGAGATAGATGTGCTGAAACTTTGCTGGTATGCCATGACCTCATGGTGATATATAGATGAATAAAAATGGGTTAAATTAAGATGTAAGAATTAGCCAATAAGAAGCTAGAGCTAATGGGCCAAGCAGTGATTTAATTAGTACAGTTTCTGTGAGATTATTTCAGTTCTGGGCAGCCGGGACAAATAAGCGGCTCACTTCCTTACTACAACAAGACATGAAACAAAACACAGAAAATCTACCGGCCAGTTGAGGCTGAAGACCTATGGGTGGTCGTCCCAGTGGGCTTGAGGGATCCAGGACCAGCACCCAAATGATATACCCAGATCCACGGAGTTCCCCAAAAAACAACAAGGAAACCGAGTCCTTTATTATTATACAATTTTTGAACTCAGACTCTCCATGTGCCCAATGTATTGGTGTGACTAGAGAGCCCTGAGCACAGTTGGCTGGGGTTTTTATAAAAGAGGAATTTTTAAGGCTCAGGACCCTGATTGACTGACATTGTCTAGAAGTGTCCTGGCAAAAGGGGGTGGGTGTGTACTGGGCTAAGGGGCATCAAGTGGTTCTATTTACAGTAGTTAGAACATTAAGAATTTCCTTTGGATGGTCTGTTTCTGGGAGGAGCATGGATGGTCTCCATTTGTGGTTTTCCTTGGAACAAGGTATTGCCTTAGGGTAAACCGAGATTCAGGCCTACATTCCTGTTGGTATTTAGAGCCTGTCTTGGGCTCAAGCTGCCCTGGGTCCTATATGTGTGTGCATGTGTATATGTGTCCTACATGTCTGTGTGTGCATGTGTATATGTGTGAGTGAGTATATGTGCTTGTTAGCTTGTGTGTGTCCCCAAGTGTGTGTGTCTGTGTGCGTATATTAGTATGTATATACATACCTCTGCACGTAAACCCAGAAGACAACCTTGGGTGCTGTTCTTCATACTCAGGTCATCCATTTCTTGTTCTTGTTACTGCTGTTGTTGCAGTGTCTGACAGACCTGGGGTTCACTGGAACCGCAGGAACCCTTCCCTCTGCAGCTCCCTGAGGTCAGACCAGCACTGGAGAATTGCATCCATGAGGGGCTGGGGAAGTGGCTCAGGGGTGGAGCCCCTGCCTAGGATCCCCAGTGAAGGGCTGGGGGCGTGGCTCAGGGGTGGAAGCCCTGCTTAGAATCCCCCAGTGAGGGGCTGGGGGAGTGGCCCAGGGGTGGAGCCCCTGCCTAGAATCCCCAGAGGGGCTGGGGGCGTGGCTCAGAGTGGGGCCCCTGCCTAGAATCTCCCAGTGAGGGGCTGGGGGCGTGGCCCAGGGGAGGAGCTCCTGCCTAGAATCCCCCAGTGAGGGGCTGGGGGCGTGGCCCAGGGGAGGAGCTCCTGCCTAGAATCCTCCATTGAAGGACTCGGGGCATGGCTCACAGTCGAGCACTTGTGCAAGCGAAAGTACCTGGGATTCCATCCTGGTTACCAAGTGAAAAAGTTGTATGAACGCAGTGCTGTAGTGGGTGGACACAGGTCTTGCTGGCTACCAGCATAGCTACAGGGAGCAAGAGACCCTGTCTCCAGAGAAGGAGGTGGACAGTGAGTGACCCAGCAAGACAGAGTATATCCTCCTCTGGCCTACACACACACATATAGGACGTGAAGAAGACACCTAAGCTGCCATTGGCAGGCATAGTGGCACATATGTGAAATCCCAGCACTCAGGAGACTGAGGCAGGAGGATTGCTGCAACTCTGAGCCAAGTGTGGTCCACATGGTAAGTTTCAGACTAGTTTAGGGTACAGAGTCATACTGTCTTAAAAATAAATAAAATATTTTTTAAGAAAGGAAAAAGAGCAACTGTTGCATTTCCTTACAAAAAGTTTAAAGCATACAAAACAACTGCATTTGCAAGAAGCAAGAAGAAGGAAATTAAGGGAATTAACATTTCTGAGAAATGAGGGAGCAATGGGGACCCCACAGGAACAGCGGGGACTCCTGTGGGACCAGTCAGCCTGTCGAGACCGCAGCAGCCCCAAGTTATTTCTCACAGACCTTGTATTCCCAAAGTAAAAGGGAAGGGCAAAAGGCTTCTTTACCATGGCTCAAGGGAAAACAAGCACAATCACCTCCTTAATACTCAAAACATCTAGGAACCATGCCTCAGTCAGACATCTAGTAACCATGCCTCAGTCAGACAT